ACCCCTCCGATTTCCCCCGCTTCATTCTTCCCCTCCCGCTACCTTCTTCTTCTTTTCTTTTTCTTAACATATATTGCATTATTTGTTTCAGAGGTACAGATCTGAGATTCAACAGTCTTGCACAATTCACAGCGCATAGTCTCCTCTTTAACGACACAGTGCACCTATTCATACGGCCCTACTCTTGGGTCTCAGACTCCATTCCTGTTCTCTCTCTCTGGAGGCTTGGTCTGCTGCACTGCAGCAGGCTGCCTTCTGCATACTCAGCCCTGCATGGCCCAAAGAAGAACCCTACAGACGGGGTCTAATGTTTGCACATGCAGGTCCCAGGTCCCAGAAGCACTGTGGTCAGAACACACACAGCAGCCCGCCCACCGGGGGCTGCGTCCGTCCAGCGGTACCTCTGCCCGGCCCGCTCCCGGTGAGCTCCCGGTGGTGTGCACGCGGGCCGGCCGGCCCACAGATCAGGCAGCTCCCCACACCACCAGCCAGCCCTCTGCCACCTCTCGGGGGAACACACATCTTCTGCGTGGGACCACATGGGGGTTCTCTCTGAAGCGGACCCACTGTCTCACCCCCGTGCCCTCCCATGGCTTCCTCTTCCTCAGCACAGTGTGACAAGCCTCCCTGACACGTCAGGTCCTTATTTCAACCTTCCTGCCTGGGCCCGCAGGCCTGGGAACAGGCCTGTGTGACACGTGCCGAGCATCATCTGCCAGAGCCGCACACCCAGTTTGCTGCCCCTGTGACCCCACAGGGCAGCAAGCCTCTCGTCAGCTGGGACGCTCCCTCAGGGTACTCGGATCACCCCGGGCTGTGGACGCGCCAGGGCACTCGTGAGCCTCGTCAGGAGCCGTGTCTCCTGCCCCAGAGCAGGCGGGGCAGAATTAGAATTAGGACTGTCCTGACCCCACCATCATGGGCAACACCTGGCAAGGCCCCTACCTCAGTGATGGGAGACTTGGGGTTCACATTCCTGGCGGCCGCGATCTCCTGGAGCTGGTTGACCAGTTCTGTGATGGAGAGCCGCTCCTCGGGGTTGACCTTCAGCGTGGCACCTAGGGCAGAGGCAGGAGAGCTCGGGCCAGGGTCTGGGGACAGCAGTGCCCACTCTCCCCGAGCGCACCGACCCCGAAAGCCCTTCGGTTCATTCACACCACCGATTTTACAAGTGAATGAGTGAAATACGACACGGCAAGCCCAAAAATGGCACAAAGTTACCATGAACGACGGGCCATTCAGAGCACCGAGAATTCACAAGGGGGCTGGGTGCTGGGAAAAGCCCCCACTGGGGGGTTGCCACACAGCCGCGAGAGACAGGACAGACGGGCCCGAGAAGTGACAGAAGGCGTGTCCTTCGAGGTCCCCACACGTGGGACTTACGGATGAGGTCGTGGAACACGGAGTACCGGGTGTCATTAGGGGGGATCGAGAACTTCCCGTTGACTATTCGAAGTTTTGCTCCATCTTCAAAAGGATGCTGCCGGAAGCACAGCAGGTATAAGATGCAGCCCAGGGCCTGTGGGGAGGGTGGAGGTGAGGGGAGCGCAGGGGGTGAGGCGGGGGCAGAGAGATCAGGGCGGGGCGGAGGTGAGGGGTCTGGATCCACAGCCCAGGACAGTCAGGACCGAGTCAGCCTGTGTAAGCTGGAGCCACAGCCTGGTCTGAGTTACAGGCGGCCACAGGGTGGGGTCTGGCGCTCCCCGCACACCCAGCCCACCTTCCACCCTCCTTAGGCGCGAGCTCCTGAGGTCTGAGTCGTGGACAAACAACAATCTCTTATTTTCTCATCAAACCGGAAAGTTCTACACGCCAGCATCTGGGGCCTGGCGGGGCAGCTGCGGAAAGGACACGACGCGCAAGCGGACGAGCCGCTGCAGCAGAAACGCAGGAAGCAAATCTGCGGGTCCGCGGGCGACGTCCCTTCCCACCGCTGCTTCTCCCTGGAGCATCGGATGTCGGGGATGCAGCGGACCAACCAGGCAGCAGGGCCCACACACATCCTCTCTCATCAGTGAGAGTGCCCAGGTGAGGCCAAGCCCTCAGCACCCAAAGTCCGCTTCCCTGTCCATCTCTGTGTGTGCACACGTGCGTGTCCTCCGGCCCAGACGTGCTGAGGGCACCTATTTGGGGTCAACCAATGTTTGGAAAGAAGACACCACGGGCTGCCGCTGTCATGAGAAAAGGCTCCAGCACGCACATCCTACCGACTCTCACACGTCCAACTGCCATCAGCACTACCTACGCTCGGGATAGAGATTCTCACATCCACAGCGGGGTCCACTGGAGGCTGGCCCCAGAGGCCTGAGGTCTGGGCCCTCAAGGGCGGCCTGGGTCTGAGGCGTTGCTGTCCCTGGTCTTAGAGAGGCCAGGCAGGGGGGCAGGATGCCTCGGCGTAGGTAGGGGCAGCCCCGGGCCGCTCAGCCCGGCGGCTCTCCCCAAGCTCTGCACCTTGATGCTGGACCCCAGGAGACATATGGCCAGACATGGTGCCCACACCATGCAGGGACTGCCACAGGGTTTCAGAAAAGTGAAGGGAGCACGGTCACCTAGGCATCAGGGCCTGGCCCTCACTGGCCAGCACCAGACCGGCACAGGGCTGCAAGACTGCGGCGGCCAGTCCGGCTGCATGAGCGCCCCGGCCTCTCCGAAGGGGCTCTGACCGGGACAGCAGATGTCCGTGGGTCAGAGGGCTCAGGTCCAAGCCTGCAGGCAGCAGATCTGTCGCACGCACAGTGTCCCAGACATGGTGTCCCCGAGGGCCCTGTGGGACTCCACCGCACGCCGACACCCCCCCAACTTTATACAGTGCGTCTCTGCTGACGGCACTCACAAGTGACTCCTGAAAACAACGGAAGAAGGAAACGAAGGAGGGAGGGACACCGGAAGGAAGGGAGCAGAGTGGGCAGGCAGGAAGCTGTGCCCAAGGGCCTCCCGCGTGCTCACAGGCAGGGCTGCCCAGGCACCCCAGCGGCGCGGCCTCACCCAGATGTCCTGCTTCTCGCCGATCGGGAAGTTCGAGTACAAGTCCACGATTTCTGGCGTCCTGTACATGGGTGTGGTGTTCCTGGTGATCTGAAGAACAGACACACACGTTTCAGAGGAAAGGCCACGCATGAGCACCGCTTCTTACTTTGCATCAATGCCGTGTCCCTTTCCAGAACACGCTGCGGGACGTGCATGAGCGACGTTCATTGCATCCCGGTGTTCCACAGCGATGGCCGGCTGCTCACCGCCCTCCTCACCCCTGCTGCTGCCTGCTCCCTGGTGCCCCGGTGCTCGCCGAAGCGGCCGCGCCGAGCACTCACTGCGGGCATCCTAGCTGTCTGGGCCTGTGGGAAGTCTGGCCCAGAGCCGTGGGCCGGGTCACGCGCGTCTGCAAGAGGAAGTGCTGTTCTACAAGAAGCTTCGTGACAAGTTCTTGCAGAAGCATTTTCTCTAATGGGAGCGAGAACTAAACCAAATTCACCTGGTTGGTTCAGGTGTTTGCATCAAGAACGCGGACACGCAAGCATACAGGGTGGGACGTGTGACGGACGAGAGAGAGCCTGGTGGACAGCACGGCACAGGGCCACAGGCCCAGGGGAGAACGGAGTCTCCGGGCACAGTAAACACCAGTGCCTACCACACGCCGCAGACTCCACAGCCAAGACCTCAGCGGGACACGTGGAAAGGACAACAAGCCGTTCTCCACCTGAAGGTCTGCCCCTCAAGAGCAAGCCTCTGCAGAGGCCGGCCCCGGCGGGTGAGTGCACGTGAGCCCTGCGGCCGGTACGGGGCTCCCGCGCACGCCGTGTAACTCCTGCAGCTCCTCGGGGATCAATGGGAACATGATCAAAGTGGATGAAGGCCTCGAGCAGGCCATTCCCGAACACCACACTCCTGCACTCAGGCAGGACTCACCCAGAACACCAGGAGGGAGGTGAAGCTGGGGGCGCCATACAGCCCAGATGTGGGGTGACGGGGGTATCCACACGGGAAAAGTCACCCAGCAGTCCACTTATGATTCTGTGCCGTTGTGCACATCTGATAAGCTTCTGTTAAAACCTCCGATTTCATTAGCTAGACTTACTCACAGACCCAGCCACTGCTCGTCCAGGCGCACCCCCGAAGACACACACACGAGAACCCACATGCAGGCTGCCGTCTCTAACTCTGCAGATGGCACGACACTAGACGCAGCCTGACCGCGAGCACAAGGCACTAGCCAAAGGGCACAGGGTCGCACCGTGGAGGGACCCGCACGCACGGACCCGGGAGAGACCATGAAGGAGACAAAGCAGACAGAACCAGAAGAGCGTGTGCAGAGCGAGAGGAACGGGGACCTGGGAGTGCACACGCATGTGCTCATCCCTGCAGAAGAAACGCAGGAAGACAAAGAGGGAAGCGAGTGGCGATGGGGGAGCACTCCGCTTTCAGCTCAGTTCTTCTGGAAACCTGTAACTGCTCAGTAATCAAAAAATAAAAAAAGACACACCCAAATATATTTCAAACGAGTACCAAAAGCACTCAGAAGGAGAGACACCGAATCCAAGGAACCGGTCTGGGCTGTGGGGGCGGGGGGGGGGGGGCACGCCGGAACCCCACATGAACCCTGAGTTCTTGCCAGGAGAGGTGTGTTCTCTAGGGTCGCTGCAAGTCTTGCATGTGCAGCAGAACGATGAGTGGACGCACGAGGGATGCTGCTGCTGGGCCAGGCGCCGGGAAAGAGGGACACACAGATGTGGGGTGGGGGCAGGCGCCCACGGGACAGGCCGGCGTAGGTGCGTGACTTCTAACACAAGGACACGCGTGTAGCTACGCCCACACGCCCAGAGCTTGGCCCCAACTCAGGGGTGGCAGCTCTCCTCTGACGAACACAGATGCCAGGGCTGCAAGGACAGGCTCCTGCTGAGCTCAGAACACCGATGCTCCAGAAAGCAGATGAACGCTCCAAAGTGAGGGGAGCATGGCAAAGAACACAGGACCAAGGGGGAAGCAAATCCGGGGCATTCTGACACCACAGTAACCGAGGACTCACTATGAACCATGGAAAAAATGGCAGCCACGAGTCCTCCCAAACAGTCAGCACATGCGGGGTGCCACCGTGGCCACAGTGGGGGTGGGAGGAGATGCAGGGCATAGAAGCACAGCAAGCAGACCCCCCCCCCGCCCCGCGGCTGGAAGACGGAAGGGACCATCACCCAAAAGAGGCGTGCATGGGACACAGTGGGCAGTCGCACACCTCCGAGGATCTACTGAAGTCAGTGAACGGGGCAGGACTCAGAGCCCAGGAGGCAGTTACTGCACCAACCGCCCGGCACACGGGGACCAAGGAACCCCTTCCCACGTCACTGCACCACTATACTCTGCAAAGCAACTCAAGGAGAACATTCACACGTTTCTGCTTTGCTGGGAACGACTGTCTTATAAACGCTCTCACACACAAGTGGGACTGCGCTGGTTTGGGGTGACTGGACACGTCTCCGCTTTAGTAATGGAGCGTGAGGGGCAGACAGACCCCTTCCCTCGAGCACAGCCCGTCTAGGAACAGCCAGCAGATCAGGAGCACCTGTGTTCTGACCCGACACCCTGGTCTGAGGCCTGGAGGAGACGGTGACCGACTCCAGGAGAAGCACACAGGTGCCCTGTGCAGATGTGATGCCAGACGAGCTTCTGCAGGGACGGGTCCTGAAGGGCCGAGCGGGAGGCCCGCTGGCTCAAGTCCAGTCCCTCAGGCTCCTTCCCAGCAGGCTTGCCTTGACGCCCCTGCACAGTGCAGCCTCAGCACCTCCCCTACCCCATCATTCCTTGTGGTTCCCCATACCCTATGTTCTGTCCGTGTGTGCAGTTTCTGTAACCTGCTCATCAAAGTATAAGCCGCTGGGAGTGTGCCCGCAGGGGTGTCCAGATGAGGGCCCGCCATGGAGCCCTGCCGGCGCCTCCCCACGGCCACACCTGCTCAGGGCACACTCACCGATCTCCTCTGGGGTCTCCTGCGGAAGCCCATGAGGTGTAACTTTAACTGATATACGTTTTTTTAAATAGCCTTATTTGGGATGGTGACAAAATTCTGTGGATGGATGATGGGACAGCCGAACAACGATGAACGTACTCAGTACCGCTAGAACGTGCACTTAACAATGGCTAAGACAGCAAGTTTTACAACACACGTCTTCTACCACAATACGAAAAAATGCAGTGAAAGAAAAAGCTGTAAGAGGCAGTTCTGGGATGAGATGAGTGATGGAGACGCAACATAACCCTCAAACTCAGTGTTTCCTGGCCCAAAGACGGGCCTGGGAGGCGAACGCCAGGGTCCGACTCGCCGGTCCTCACAGGCCACACGCCCACCCCGCTCACCTCATCTTCTACCAGGGCCCGCCGCTGGGCGCTCCAGCTGTAGTCAGGGTAATGCAAAATGGTCGTGGCACTGCCAAAGTCACAGAGCTTGATGGTCCCCTGGTTACTGAGCAACAAGTTTTCCACCTGCAGAATTCCAGAAGACAGTCCTTATGAACTTGGGGTGCAGAGACCCAGGCCCAGGACGTGCTGAAGAGATGGGACAGGATTCCCCAGAGCGCAGTGAGGAGCCTTCCACAAACGGGAAAACACGGCATCTTAACTTCTTGCTGATCCAAGTCAGTACGTATACCTTTAAAAACAGGTAACTCGGAAAAATAAAAGGAAAAAATTTAAAATCAACCACAAATCAAAAATAACTCCACTCAATAATATAAGATATACAAAGAACCTTTAAAAAAGTCAGTTAAAAGATAAAAACATTAACATGCCATTTCAAAATCCTCAACTATATCAAGAACCTAGGAAGAAATCGAACAAAAGATACACAAAACATCTCTATTCAGGAAACTAAAATTGACATAAACTCTTAAAATCCAAAAGAGACAAGGAACTGGACCATGTTCTTAACACGACAGGCACAGATCTGCCCGGATCAGCCCAGGGCAGGTCCCTAGACTCCGGGCCAAAGCACGGACAAGAGTAACTCAGGAAGCAGGCGTCAACCAAGCGCACAAGCTCTCACAACACACACTCTACCGGGTGTGGGCCACACGTGGCCAGACCCTAGAGCCATAAGGCTGAGCAAACAGCTGGACAGGAGCACGACGCTCCACGGCCTGCAGTGTTGGACGGAGCCATGCACAGGAGCAAAACAAGGAGAAGGATACATGTCCCCATGGCCTCTGTCATCCCCCGTGTCGCACCTGCCCCTCCACAGAGCACCACTCGACAACTCCCTCGGACAAGCCCTGGAGACTGTGGTCCCCTGGCGAACACGGGGCACTGAGAAGACAAGGGATGTCCAAACCAGGCAAACTTCACCAATACCGATTCTTTACTGATTTCACCCTCGTAGAGTTCCCGCCCCTTAAAAAAATTACGGACACACCAGCACAAGCATTATTAACGTGCAAACCAGGAGTCTTGATGCCACAAGAAAATCCACCAGCCACCTGGTCGACTAAGAAAGGCCTGTCCAGACAGCAGGGAAGGGATGGCTGGCATGCAGGGCTGCCACTGCCCAGGTGCCCTCAGGACAGTGGCTCCTTTTTTTTTAAAGATTTTATTTGAGAGAGAGAGACTGAGAGAGCGAGCACATGAGAGGGGGGAGGGTCAGGAGGGTCAGAGGGAGAAGCAGACCCCCTCACTGAGCAGGAAGCCCGATGCGGGACTCGATCCAGGGACTCCAGGATCATGACCTGAGCCGAAGGCAGTCGCTTAACCAACTGAGCCACCC